CCGTTCACTGAGAATTGGGTTGAGTCAAGTGACCGTTTAGTTCCTCTTGGTAAGTGCTTTTTGTCATCACCTGAGAATAACCATCCCTGCATCCCAGTGTTCATACTGTCCATCCTAAATTGTATGTGAGATTAAAACAATTGTCTGGAGGTGTCTTATGTTGAAAGTCCCCAGATGGTTTACCACTTCAGATTCGAGGAGTGGATCAGTGTACACTCTAATGGCAAATGTTGTGCACAGTCTATTGCACCTTTGGTTAGGAATTGGTTCAGATCTACAAACACGTACTATTACAAAGCGTTAACAAACCTGGTGAATGTGAGGGACTGGTTTAGATGAAGGGGTTTGAGGTACTAATCAACACTTAACCTGGTAAAAGTGTTTAATGTTATCTTATTTCTTGTGCAACAACGTCAACCTTTATAAACATCCATTTGGGCATTAATTTTTAAAATGCATCATGCAAAAATTAGCAGTTCTCTGAATAAAGACCATGGCTGGCAGATCAATGTGGTACTTTTCTATCCAGTATGGTAGAAACTTACATTTTAAATGTGGAGTTAACTGACAAGAGACTTGACAGGCCAGTTTACAGTGACCGGGTGCATGTAACTAAGCGACTGAGCAGTCCGTTAAATATGCAATTGTGTGATGTGGTAGTTTGTCCCAAAGCGTAGTACGTCGCCACATTGGGACACCGCACGGGTCATGGCACTTGATGCATGAAGTTGTTCTTGAGCTGCTCTTTAACCACTTTGTCCCTGAGAATTAGGGTAAGGTCTAGTGACTTGATGCTGTAGAGACTACATTTGAGGTGTTTTAAATCGGGTGCCTTGTGGATGCCGAGGCTACGGCTTCCAGCTCCCGCTTCATGCCTCGAACCCAGGAAGACAAGATCCGGTTCCAGCTGGAGGCCTTCATGTTCCAGGGAGGATACAGTCCTTCTGTACGTACTATTTGTTGAATGAATTTGACTTCTCTTCCCATCTGCTTTGGTTTTTTGACCTCTTACCAGTCTCTTGCAGATCTACATAACGTCAAGTCACCTTTATTTATATAGCGCTTTTAAAAATCCAGATTGTGTCAAAGCAACTGAACAGCATTAATTAGGAAAATAGTGTCAATAATGCAGAAATGACAATAGTAAACTAATTTTTCAGTTAAAGGCAGTTCATCATTGAATTCAGTGATGTCGTCATCA